AGGACTGGGAGGCTTCTGGGATCCGTAAAACCACTAAACCCCCCCCCTGCGTTCGGAACGCGCGTTCCAGAACGTACGTTTTGCGTTCTGCGTTTTGGCCGTGCTAAGATAAACAGTTCTCACTTCTTTTTTCCGAACAAATATCTCCATGGACATCTTCTCCGAATTGGACCATTTACAGGAACATCCGTAAATCCAGGATATTTATGGACCATTTACAGGATATTTATGGAGGTTTCCTTCAATGGCGATACCCCCATAGCTGCTTTGGAATGGAACATCACCATCGATCGAGGTGGCGAGAGAATGCGATCGATCTAACAGAGAGGTGACGACGGACGGAGCGGGGTAGTCTTGGAAGATTCCTCGGAAAAGAAGGGTAGCGGTGTCATCAAACAAGGGCATAATTGTTATATATATAATATATTATACATATATATAATACTATATATATATTATATCCTATATGTATATTATATACTATATTATATACTATATTATATATATATATTATACTATATATTATATATTATATATTATATATTATATATTATATATTATATATTATATATTATATATTATATATTATACATTAAATATTATATATTATATATTATATATTATTTATATTATTATAAATTATAAATTATATATTTATATTATATATTATATATTAAATATTATATATTATATATTATATATTATATGTATAGAGATTATATATAGAGATTATAGTTTGGTGATTTTGAATTGCCAATTTTACTGATCTTTGCTGCAAAAATGGAAGCACACCATGAATCTCCGGGATTTGCCAGCGGCCCCTCTTTTAGGGACACCGGAGGGTATCGACATGGAGGTTTTTTCAGCGAATCATGTGGCTTTGGTTGAGAACGGGGTATACAAACCTCCTTAAAATAGCCATATTTAATATCATTTACTGTAATATCTACAATAGCCATATTTAATATCATTTACTGGGGAAAATGATGATAAACTATGATAAACTATAACTGCCATCATCCCAAGGGACGACCAGATATATAATTCAGATGGGTGGCTCAACCACCAATCAGTTAACAACAAACATCATATCAGCCTGGTATTGTTTGGTGGTTTCCCGACATTTTCAAACGAGATCCATAGACCTTGGGGCCCTTGGGGATGGGGGAAGCAGCCGGCGAAGGTGAGGAAGGCGTGAGACCTGGAAGCTGAACACGTCAGCACAAGGCTGATGTGGTGACATTTTTGGGCTCCTGGTTCAAATAACAATAGCAATAACAATGATAATAGTAACATATAGTAGAACAATAATAAATAGTAATAATAATAATAGTAATAATAACAATAATAATAATCATTATCATCAAAGTCATCAAACTTATGATTCCAGTCCACTATTCAAGATTCAAGTATAGTACAGTAATTCATAGTAATTCAATGCAATTCATACTAGTCGTTTAATGATTCTGTGCAGGAATCATAGAGTATTAGAGTATATTAGAGTAATATAATATCATGCATATGAAAACAGTAACAGAGATAACTTAACTATATGATAAGATCTTCTAGACTAGATATAAGAATAACTATAGTGCTATGATTCGTTTCTTCTTCCTTCTTGAAAGTTTCTGTTTGGATAGGCAGTGCATAACTGGCTGGTGGCTTCCAATAGTTTCGATGTTCCCGTAACAGTGGGTGTCACGTGAAGTGGCACCAATTATGAAACAAGGAGTTCGTATGTTCGATCATTTATCTGGACAGACCTATGCTCATTTCCATAACAGCCGTGTTCCAAAGTGTTCCTGTCCCAACAAAATCACTGAGAGGGGGGATCGCTGCTTAGATATGCTTAGATGCCCCTGCTTAGAAGTCGATGGTGAATGCTCAAAGGGCTTCACCCAACTCGACGCGACGTGCGACGTGCTGCGCTTTTTGTCTCCGGGTGGAGCCGATGAATGTAAGTTATATAACTTTACATGATATTCTCATGCGGCTTTCAACCACTGATTCGGCCGCGCACGATGTTTTGGCATATTTTCACTTTGGGATCTTTTCGGACTTTTTGGGGCGGTGAAACATGACTCTGAAACGGTGCTTGAATCGTGTTTTTGCACCCCAGTTATCTGTGACGTTCTCGGGGAAGTCTTTGAGAATCTTTGGTGTGTTTGGGGTTGGATTTGCCGGACCAGAAACTGAACTTTCAGGGTTACCCTCTGGTTATGACTAAAATAGATGGCCCATTTATACATGGTTTACCTATTAAAAATGGTGATTTTCCATGGCTATGTTAAATAACCAAATGGTAATTTGGGTGGCCAACGCCATAGTCTGTCGCAAGCCGGTCGCACTTTGCCCCAAGCCGCTCCTCAAAGGGGACTGCGCGGCCAGGGGATTTTTGACGATCAAACACTTGGGACCTTGAGAGACGGGTGTTTGATGGTGTATGGAGAGATGCTGAGATGTTGCCAGAATTAAGGATTCGCGGTTCGTAACTAGGGTACCTCCCAATTCATCTCAGCTTTCTGAGCGTTGCTACTGTAGCTAATTCTCGCAACACCCACGCAGTAACAATGACCACATTGTTCATGGAATGAGTCTAAATCAAGGTACCCTTAATTAAGCGACCACAAGAAGGGCAAGTTTTCGGAGTCATCCAATAATAAGGGCTGGTCATTTGAACATTTGATCCAAAGCGATTGGTGTCAAGTGTGGGGAAGAGATTGAGACCCATCCGGATTGGTCAAAGCCTGTGATTTTCCCACAGTTACAATATATAGAGCTATGATGAGCTATGACTAGCTATGAGCATCGGGCCAGATTTGCTATTTGATGTGAAAACAGGGCAAAAAAAACCAGGGTTTGGAGCCATCGCCAACTCTTTACTGATGTTCTTTTCGCTAAATCGCAGCAGATCCGCTAGTGGAAGATGCAGGGTACCCTGCGCTTATCATTCACAGATGTGGAAAACTCATGAAAACTCATGATTTCCCTAGGAACAAAATCTGCAAATGCTAGGTTTTACACATCGAACTGTAGTTTACATGAGGGTTCTTCTCAGTACCAAATATGTTTTTAAAACCACAAGCCAACTGGTGTCCAATTAGCATCCTGCATGTCAGGGACAGGATTCAACACCTCTAGGATATTGATATTCTGCCATGAAATCCCATGATTGGGTTCAATTCAGCTTGGGATTTTCTTATATCATCTGGTTATTTAACATAGCTGTGGCAAATCACCTTTCTTATATATATATATTATAATAGGTAAATCATCTATAAATGTCCCATTTTCCGTAGCCGTGTTGAAATTGTTAGAATATCCGAGGGTAGGACAAATCTTCTGTTTCAGTCTGCGTTGACCCCGATCACATGTTTGAAAAAAATGGCTTGAGGCTTTGGTTGCAAGCACAACAACCCGTACCCTCTGGTAATTTAACATAGCTATTGAAAATGACCATTTAGAGTGGATTTTCCCATTAAGAATGGTGATTTTTCTATAGCTACGTTAGTTTACCAGAGGGTATCTTCGCTTCTGTCCTTCTTTATAGGCTCAATTTAACCCATGTTGCGCATGTCGAGGCCAGTCCTTGCCTTTGTTGTCTCGGCGATCCTGAAAAAATGAGATCATGTTGAGACGTCACTGGAATGATCGGTGTAGAAACATGGGGTAACTTGCAACCGGCGCAAGGCTAGGGATGGTGGCTAAGTCCCCAATCGGCAGCATTTCTGTTGGGCGATGAAGCCAGTTTGGAAGATTTCGTATGTTTTTTTTGTTTTGGACATCAACTATTTCATGAAGTAGCTTTATGAAACATTTCCATTCGTTTTTCAATTTGTATAAATTGACTTTATGCTTCAGAACCATTTCAAGTCAAAAGCCCAAGAAATGTCCGTTTGCTTGCCAGATTCTTCGCTTGCTGCATGGAGGACTCCTCTGCGATGCTTAGGCGCGATGGCTTTTCACGATCCCACTTCGCAACACTGCTGGGTATATTCAGCCATTTTTCGAGGTACTTGGGTCCCGATTAAATATTTCAGTTGCAGGGGTTGAAGCTCAAGATATATATATACACAGCTATATATATAACTATATATATATAATTATCTATATATATATGTAACTATATATATATGAAACTATATATGTAACTATATATATTATATAATTATATATAGAACTATATATATAACTATATATATATAACTCTATATATATATGTATGTTTTTATTTTCATATATATATATATATTTGTAAGTGTGTGTATATATATATGAGTTCTTGTTATTTTTATATGTGTGTGTATCTATATATAAATATGAATATGTGTATATATATATATATGTGTATGTATATATATATATATGTATGTGTCTATAATATAGATGAATAGATATAAACATATATATATATAGAGATATATATATAGATATATATATAGATATATCTGAAGTAGATACACAGCACGTGTATAAATAACTATAGGTAGCACGTAGGTACTTTGAGGGAGTATGTGTGCTACGTAGGTCGTCTAAAAGGTACTGGTAGCATGTACCTAGTAAATGCGAGGCTGGTAGTCAGAATCGCTGCAAAAACCTAGCACATACAAGGCTGGACCTCAGAAATGCTGCCAATAGCTTGCAAATAGAAGGGTACGGGGTGCTACCTGGGACCCATACCATTGGGGGGGGGTAGGAACACGGAACACGAGACCATATATACCTATATATATATAATTATGTATATATATATACATACGTTCCCCTGACATGGATCACCATGAAGCAACTTCTACGTCAAGGATCATTCGTGTAGATGCAGAGCTGGGAGCCCGAAACGTATCGTATCGAAACGTGTGTCACAAGACCACGAATCAATGGAAAAGATAAACTCCTAGTTCCCTTCAACTATGAGTGGCAGTACCCCCCCATTTACAGCAATCCTATTGTTGATATTATTGCATGGTACTGATGGACAACGCTTGATTGATGCATGGGGCATGGCCCGCTTTTATCGCAGGCGGTTCGAGTACGTCATTGTAGGCCCCCGGCTGCGGGTCTCACTTTTTTGCGGCCTCCAAAACCCAGGATCTTTTTGTGGTTTTCCATTCAGTTCTAGCAAGATCCGGTGAATTTTGCATTGGTGGATTTTCTTTGTGATGATTTCTGCTGGGATTGTCATATTTTTCTGGTTCCTTGTGCGATTTCGGCGACTTTCTGATGTATTTGTGGTTGCGGTTTCTTGTTGAATTGCGATGATTGCAAAGTTATTATAAGTTACTCAGTTACTCGTACACACGCTGAGACTTGTAGAAAATGCATCCACATGAAGGGTTCAAAATGGCCTGTGGCACTTTGCGAGCAGCTACTCCCAATTGGTACATGCTATGGAAAAACAGGACCTCCAAACTGATCCAAATGGCATCGAATGGCCACGAAAATGGAAACTGAGTTTCAAGAAAAACATTCCAAACATATGGGGGTGTCCAAAAACACATCATAAATTTCCCGAAGAATTGTGGCTGCATCATCATGTTTTCCCATGCCAACCATAGCAATCTTCAACTCGGCCAGGTGGCGGAACGGCCGCGGGCTACGCATGCAGGGAGTTTGTGGCACAGAATGTGGGCGTCGACAAAGTGGCGGTGGTTCCTTGGCGACCTTGGCGACGTGGCTGATCCATGGTGATCCAATATTCAAAAGCCAGTTGGTCATTAAACTTGTGAATATTGGTTTTCATAAATTAAGTGGTTAATTAACTACCATTATACTGTGAATTTAAAACCAGTGAATGGTGGTTAATTCACTTGTTAGTTTTCATGGTGGTTAATCACTTGTGAATTTAAAACCAGTTGGTTATCCACTATGGTGAATTAATGGTGGTTATTAATTTCAATATCCCATATGAATAACCCATAATATGGAATTAATATTCACTATGGTGATCCATGATAATGAGTTGGTCAATGTTCTGTCATTAAACTTGGGGTTTCAACATGTTTTGACCATAGTAAAGGCAGGGATATCAGTGAATATAACTGATAAATGTTCGTTGGTTGATGATTAGTTGGGTGATTCTACTCTCCAGCTGGGGATGATCGAAATCCATGAACCCACCTGGATTAAATGGAATGACAGAGATTTTTGAACAGGTGGGTTAAAACAGGACTCTGTCATTGGTTGATTGATAGTTCCCACTGCATTCCAACTATCGTTTTAACCCAACTGCTCAGAAGGCCTTTCCCCACTGCTTGGTTGATTGATAGAGGCTTCCCTCCCATTCAAACGAACGCTAGGCTCTCTCTCTCTATATATATATATGATACTATACCGACTATATATACCAAACCGGCCCCTCCAACTTTTCCTGAAAGGACAATATTGCCCGGGTGAAGTAACCAAAACCCCTGTTGATTGGTTGGTTGGTTGGTTGGTTGATTATGTTGATTATGGTTGATGAATTGGGGACATACCACAGTTTAATGGGACATATTGTAGTTTATAAGGGGCTTGAGGTGGTTTAACCATCAAAGTGGGGAGTTAATCATCATTTATTGGCGTGAATTGACCAATGGATTGGTTTTGGCAGGAGAATCTTCACCGGAAACTGGCTCAGGGGGTCCCTGCGAAAAAAACTTTAAACCAAGTCTTGGAATTGACTTTTTTTGTAGGTTTAGGGATCATAGTTCGCCCGTAGCCAGGATCGCAGCCTGTTCATCGAACATCTTGGAACTGCGTTCTTTACCTCGAAAATCCGAGAAATCGATGAGTAAAAGTAGGAGCCCCATGGAGTCCCAGTTGTTTTCCATGTGAGGTCCCTGGTTTGGACAAAAGGAGAATAGAAAGTCTGTCCAAAATCAGGGTTGCTCCAAGCCATTATAGATAAATGATAGCAAATTAGGCATTTACCTCTATACTTCTACATTTACCCAATTTACATCAATTTACCATCCCTGTACCTGGGGTGTTTGGAGCAACCCTGAAACTATTCGCGAACGCATTTCTCCATCGGTGATTGTATACAAACGGTGTTGGTATGCTGCAACAGCTGCTAGAATCTGCTAGAATCATTGTGACTGGCAGAGTAGATGGCACTCATTGGTATGGGCTCAGGGCTCATTGCTGAAAAGAAAATTCACTCACACTTTCACATACTATAATCATAGTCTTCCTTCTTCTTTCCTCCATCTGCACCACGGACATTGGAGATGTTTGCCATCTCTGAATTCAGAATTCCCCTTGGATTGAATGGTTATTGCTCAAAGGAGCTTTCCCCGGCGCAATGTGTTCATGAGTTATTCTTGGATGGATTGCGGAAGCCTCCAAACCGGCCCCATCCTAGACCTATTCTGGTTGGTGTGGTTGTATGATATGTCCTACCGTAGATGGACGAAATATTCAAACCCCTCCTATCGGGTACAACCCCCTCGCCCCCAAAGTTCAATGTTAATGTAACCTGAGGTGCATTAGCCCCAATGGACGAAAAGAACAAACCCCTAACATACATCACTTTTGGTAACACGCGCGCTGAAACATTGAGATTTGGGGGCGCGGGGGTTCAACATAGTGCGTGTTGAAGGGTTTGAGTATTTTGTCCATCTACTGTAGTTTCCATCATAGCTGGGATGATGATGCCAATTGACTGACTGATTTTGTATGCGTTCAAACCACCAAATACCACCAATCCACTATTTTTCCCGAAAGGGCATTCTTCTTGCTGGGCAAAATGCGGGGGCGTGAAAGGTCACAGCTGAACCGGTAGCTCCCTACGAGCGACCGGCCCTGACCAAAGCGTGCTCTCCTTAGTTGGTGGAGAGACCGTCTCCTGGAAGCGCAGGATCCACGGAGCTCGAATTGGCAAATCATGGGAACGGTTTATATGGGTTGGTCTGAAAATAGGCTACAGCATACCATAGCAAAACCCGGAAAAGGGTCATTTGAACGGGAATCATGATCATAAACCGAATTGTTGGGTACCATATTTTTCATGCGGTCACCTTGTGGAGGGCAGAATGATGATGGCACGGTCAGAATGGATATAGTGATATGATTGAACCCGGGGGTCAAGTAGACTTGCTATCCTTTTCACTGCCCACTTAGCATCATAATGATGCTAGGAAAAAGACATGAGTTCCCCCCGCAGTTGCATTAGAGAAAAATATCAGAATCCACCATTGTCCATCCAAAAACCAAACTGGTTGGTGGTTTCAAACATTTGGATTATTTTCCATGTCATATATGGGATGTCATCCTTCCCATTTGACGAACTCATATTTATCAGAGGGGTTTTTGTCAACCACCAACCAGATATATTTCTTGGGACAATTGAACGTCCATTGGATTGGATCGGGGGGAACTTGGATTGTCCAAAAAAATTGGCCAACAAGGTACATCCACCCGCCCAGCGCGAAGGCGCCCCCTTGGCCGATACACGGGCGCTTTTTGGGGATAGGGACAAACACTAAAATCATATAGATCAATCAATATACAAGATAATGATATACTATACAAGATATAGATCATTGATATATATGATATACTATACAATGTATATAGCATGTAATAGACTAATCAATATACAAGATAAGATAATAGATAACAAGTTGCCCACGAAGCCGAATGCAGTCACGTAAAACACTTTTGTGAAACGAGTGATTCGAACAGTCTTGTACATTTTTCCCCTGTTGCCGTACCAGTGCACTGTAGACTGTGGGATCCGAAAGAAGGTGGAGTGCAAAGTGTAGGGTGTGAAGAAAGTGGAGTCTTGAGTGGGGAATGCAGTGTGTAGAGTGTGAAGTGGAGATTGTGGAGTGTGGCGTGTAAAGTGTAGAGTGTGGAGTGTAAAGTGTTAAGTGTGGAGTGTAGATTGTGGAGTGTGGAGTGTAGAGTGTGACGTGTAAAGTGTAAAGTGTGGAGTGTAAGGTGTGGAGTGTAGAGTGTGGAGTGTGGAGTGTGGAGTGTGGAGTGTGGAGTGTAGACGTATAAAGTGTAGAGTGTGGAATGTAAAGTGTGGAGTGTGGAATGTAAAGTATGGAGTGTAGAGTGTGGAGTGTAAAGTCGAGTGTGTAGAGTAGAGTATGGAGTGTAAAGTGTGGAGTGTGGAGTGTAAAGTGTGGAGTGTAGAGTGTGGAGTGCAGAGTGTGATGTGTAAAGTGTAGAGTGTAAAGTGTGGAGTGTAAAGTGTGGAGTGTAACGTGTGGAGTTTAGAGTGTGACGTGTAAAGTGTAAAGTGCAGAGTGTAAAGTGTAAAGTGTGGAGTGTGAAGTGTGGAGTGTAGAGTGTGGAGTGTGAAGTGTTGAGTGTAAAGTGCGGAGTGTGAAGTGTGGAGCGTAGAGTGTGAAGTGTAAAGTGTGTCAAGTGTGGAGTGTGAAGTGTGGAGTGTAGAGTGCATAGTGTTAAGTGTAAAGTGTGGAGTGTGTGGAGTGTTTGGAATGTAGTGTGTGGAGTGTCATCGCATGTCACAACATGCCACCCCTGCCACGCGATTTGCGCGTTGTCACCACTTGACGCATCCCTGACAATGCGATTCGCACAAAACACGCAACAGCACACCTTCAAACTGCTGCGCGTGTCATGCAAAACGACGATGGACGTGTCCAAAGTGCTGTGCGCGCCACGATAAATGCAACTCATCTGTTGACAGGGAGGCAAAAGTATTGCGCCTGGCACACAAAGCGGCTTTCAACATTTTTGCAGACATGTGAGAATGTCAGGAAGTGGCACGCCTGCCACGCAAAACGACATTGCAACCGGTGCGGAAACCATCGAAAAGGAGAGATGTGCGGCTTCCCCCATAGATACGGCTAGGCCAGAAAACCAGAGACTCGACTCGAGACGAGACATGCTGGAGCATCAAAACGAGCATTTCGCGCGAGACATCCTCCAATTTTCACATTGTGTAGCTTCAAAATCGACGTTTTCCTACGAATTTTCTTTTGAACCTAGATTTGCTACCTCAAAATCGATGTTTCGTGCGAGGCTTCCGTCAATTTTCATCGCATTTCAGAAAATGCCACTTGACGCAGCCCTGACAATGCGATTCGCAAAAAACAGGCAACGTGACGCGTCTAAAGTGTTGCGCCTGCCATGCGAAATGACGATGGAGGTCGCCAAAGTGTTGCGCCTGCCACGAAAACTGGAACACATCTTCTGAAAACGTTGGAAAAGTAGTGCGCGTGCGACACAAAACGACTTTTGACGCGTTATGAAACATGTGGGAATGTCACAAAGTGCCACGCCTGCCACGCGAAATGAGGCTACGCGACGTCTGAAAGCTCCAAAAGTGACCACTCTTGCAAAGCTCGCCATAGGCACGGCCATAGGGGCCTAACACGAACGGTTGCGGACAGTTGCGCAGCGTCTAGCGAACACAGCCTCAACCCCCAGACCTCCCGAGTGAAACGGGAACCCTTGCTACGCATTCGGGAATAAGAAAAGACAAAAGAGAAGATAAGGCAGGGTAGGGTAGGATAGATAGGTTCAGTGGCTAGTTATTTAGTTAGTTCAATGGCCAGCAGATATATCAGATAGTCAGATAGAGGGCTATATGGAGAGTGGGTTGGGAACTTATTGCCTGGGTTGCTGAGGCTACTCAAGAACTTATGATTGAGAGTGGGCCATCTGGCATTGTAACTCAGTGAAGAGACATGATGTTCCAAAGACCCGATTGCGAAAAAGACTGGGTACGGTACTGGATGTAAAACCGAACGTATTCTGAAGTGAATCTGGAGGTGCAGCAACTTGAGTCTTTCTCAGCATGGAGAGGAATTTTCCAGTACAATATGTTTTCATTGCAAATGCCCAAAACTGTTGCCCCCAAGTAGGTCTAGAATGTGGGTTTGTCTCAATTTTCCCCATAGGGATTCCCATTTTGAGACACACGTGAACGATCTATCCAAGGCGCAAGATTAGACGGAACCCTTGAATCACCGAAGCTGCTTCGGCTTAAAACCTATGAACTGCACTTTCGATACAGCACATTCCAGGTGCGCGAGTGTAGGGACAAAAAAACACCAGCTGTCTGCAAGAAGTTTCCACGATGTGTGCAGCTGAAATGAAATAGCGAAGAAAGACTGGTCATGTCACATGTCCTTTATGCCATTCTGCTTTGGAAAGATAAAAACGACTTATTGGACCATATTGGACCGTCTAAGAGCAGGGTTGCAGCACCGCAGCCATGAGTGACTTGGAATTCATCCGGAGCTGGCTGGTGATGTCGAACGTTTTTTTGCCTTCTTTGAGGTTTACTGATAATATTTGTTCCCATATATTTTCCATATTGTTCCCGGATTTTTCCCATGTTGACCATATTTTCTCCACTAACCCGACCATCAATGATCATAAAACACTGGTCGAATCCCAGTTCCAAACACGTAGTCCCAGTGACCAGCAATGTCTAGTAACATCCACCATTGCTACAACGTGAGCCCCCACAGATTTGTTTCTTGGTTAAAAAAACCATTAAGTATGGTTCGTTAATGTTCGTTATATCCCCCTAATGAACCCAAATTGATTCACCAAGTTTGTGCCTCAATTTAGCATAATTTAGCTATAGAGGCAATTGAACTAGTTCCAGTTCTAACCCAAAGTTAACTTAACTAATACTTAACCAAATTTTTGATGTTATTGGGTTATTTGTGTTATTTGTATTTTCATAAAACCTGATTATGGATAGTTGGTTAAAAACCTGATTATTTGATGGAATTGTATCCCCCATACACCTGAATTCTGCTCCTCAGGCAGTGCGCTCACCCTCCCCCATCCCACGGGAGCGCCTGAATGGTGGCAGCCCCAACAGCGATGGCAGCTGCTTGCCGAGCACCTTGGGCGTTTGGAGATGGAAAAAAGTTGGAGTTCAACCAGAAAAATGGATAAAAATGGTGGTTTGAGCAGCAGAACTTGGGATTCCTGCGGTGAAACAGAAGGGAAAAGTCTAGGATTCAACTGACGAACATGCGAATTTGATAGGATATAAGCAGCAACAAATTGGAAACTGACCAGAAATCAATGTGGGATTGCTCAACCAATACAGGTTTCAGCAAAAGTTCTGGATATGATCTCACCAAGAAATATTGTGGATTTTGCCAACCGGTTGGATTTACAGGACAGAACTGCGGAATTCACCAGTGGGACCACGGCTAACCAACAGATTGACCTATGCTATAAAGACTCAACCAAGGCTTACTAACTAACTATATGGTTGATATGGTTGGCCAGTGGAAATCAGAAGGAAAAATGAACATGGGGTACAACAGCCAGTGTATGAATGTGTATGATGTATGAGGTGACCAGCCGCCCAGCAGCCTGAACGCCACCGGGCCCAATCGCTTGGGTCAGCGGGGCATGGCATCGGCGCTGGTGCGATGCTCCGCTGCAATTACCAAGCGATGTCCCACTTGGTGATTCATCCCACTGGTGTTACCATCTGGTGATTCATCCCACTGGTGTTACCATCTGGTTATGACTAACACAGCCATGGAAAATCACCATTTTTAAGTTCGGTAAACCATCTATTTCGATTAGGGCCATCGACAAACCATAGCTATGTAAACGTCATAACCAGAGGGTATAACCCACTTACTAAGTGGGATGAACCAGCAAGGTGCATCCCAGGATTCCCGTGGTGAATCACCATGGTAGCCACTGCCATAAACCTATCATGACTGGGGATGTTATTTTTTCGGCACCCACTGAAAATGGTGATTTGGGATGGTTCATTATTTGGTTTACCACATTATATGTGTATATATACAGTATATATACTGGGTAACTTATAACGACCTCACTGTGACCTCACTGGAATCATGGTTAGTAAGGGAAATCATCCCCAAATGGCCTTAATTCAGGTTAGTGAATTATTACAATTTACCCATATATATATATATACTGTAATTCTACATAGCTATGATGAAGTAGATAGAATATAGGATGTTCATTCTAGTGAGGATATTGCATTACCCTCTGGACATCAAATATGGTGTGCTGGGAAATGGCCGATTTATAGATGATTTTCCCAGCTATCAATCTCCGTTCATAAGGGATCTTCGATTGCCATGTTTGATGACCGGAGGTTTCAGAACTGTTGGATTAAACACACCTCAGAAACCATGGTGGATAGGATGAAACCATGGATTGTTTTTCCACATCGCAAACGAATTTTCCAGCTGACATGGAACATCATGGGATATATATATATAATTCATTGGATAATTCTCCAATTACCAACAATAACTATATGGCTAGGTCTGAAACTTGGCTCGCCAACAAGTAATCCTATTGTCGCTTCAGCCCCCCAAAAACCGATGGGATGGGATCCAAACTCCATGCTTCGAGACCAAAACCCTTAGTGAATCTGGTAGAATCAACTCCACCACTGGAGCATTTGGGATTTAATGGGATTTAGTGCCATTTAATGGGATTTAGTGGGATTATAATCCACTTAATGATCCAAGCCGCTCAGGAGTGAATGGATCTTCAGCGAACCTGTCGCAGTTTCTGGCCACATGTCTCCTTCTGGAAAAGCAGACGGAGGACTCAGCGCTGCTGTTGTTTTCTGGCCGTTGTCCCAAACACTCCCAACATTTCAATAGAACATGGTGCTGTCGGGATTTGATTGGAGATAAGATGGAAGTGATGCTGCTAGTGTATCCTAGCATGGCAGTGGACGGTACCCATTCGATGATGTATTATCGTCCTAGTATTCTCTCATTTTTCACTATACTAGGTATGATAATCCATTAATTAGTTCGATAATGATCTTTTTTTTTTACCATTAGTTTGTTTTTCCCCACCCTCTCACTTCGATGTTTGATCACCAGACACTTTTTGTTGCCATCCAGCTGCAGATCTGCCATTTGGCCGTGCAATCCTTCCCTGGATTCCCAGCCGCCCTGGAAGCAGGATCTAACAGCCTTGTGGTGTTATCAGATCTTCGCGACTCGGCACAGTCGGACAAAAAACCATCGCCATATGTTACATGTTACCATTAGCTGTACTGGGTCATGTAAAACGTCCTCTGTATAACAAGTACGTCAACCAACGAAAACCTGGATTCAAACCAATTAAGGAATGAAAGTGAATGACACTAGACACTGGTTCTGAATGTTAGCTATTGTGAGTTCGTTTCAATGGACACCCATGGGGATGATTTTTGCATTAGCCAATAAGGCTAAAAATGGGGTTGCCCCCCAAAACATGTTTTCCCTATTAAGATTATCAAGTATGACAAACTTTGGATGATTTGAGGATCTCACATTTTCAGACAAAGCCATACTCCCTGGACCAGACCCATTGTAGAGTTCGGGATCTTGGGGCACTTGAGAATCTGACGACTGGCAAACTGGGACACGTTTTTCTGGGTTTTTATCCAACTGGATTCTTTTTCCAAGCTTTTAAATAATGTTCAAGCACACATGATTTTGCTTTCCATGTCTTTCAACGTTGTGACCTGTGATTCGTCCAACAGGATTCCAACAGGATTGGGTCATGTTTACCTCAGCAGAAAAGGCTTTTTGGCTCAGCCATGCAGACTTTCTCAGTGGTCCTGAAAGCTCTCAAAAGTGTTGCGCAGGAACTGTTTTGGTTCAGAAACCTGGCTCACCATCCACCACCTGGATTTGGATTTTCTGGGACCCGAGCCGAGCAAATCCAAAGGGGTCAGTAAAATGAATTCCTTATTCTTTGGTCTCATGAAAGGCAGGACCCACTCAGCTGCAGGAGTGGATGTCCTTTTTCAGTGTGAATCTTGGGCAGTGGAATGACTGGTGGCTTGTACGGTCAGCAAAAGGTAGGGTTTTGGTGGAGTTTACAGTAGCCTCAGTTCGCAAGTGCCGCCTGAAGAAGTTGTTTCCGTCATAGTTATGTAAACGTTTACCAGAGGGTAGTATATGATATTCAACAGACAAACAATGGATGCCACCAGCGCGGAGACCATCCATGGGGTGTTTTGGGGTTTCATGGCTCCGTGTTGTGGGTTCCATATGATGGCGGTTTCATGGCACCCTTCCAAGAACTTCAAGATGAGCATCAAGAAAAGACATTGTGAATGGGTACATCATCTTCGAGCTTTCCATTCTCTTTAAGTCTTTGTCCCGGTAGCAGTGCTAGTTTCCAGCTGTGAGAGGTGCAAAGTCTTTGTAAGCTATGGGGTGTGTTTAGCCGACTTAGCCTGCGAGAAGTCAAAGAGCCCCTCTGAACTGGTCGGCAACTATCCTTTTTTTCCTGGGATATCAGGGGTCCCAAGTGACAGTTTTCTCAACTTCGGACATAGACATGTTCTTTTCACTTGGAGCCGATTTTCGGTTGAACCTCAAGTCAGTTGTAATGCGGTAAGCCCAATAGTTAAGCAAAACCATCCCCAAGGGGACCTTGGAATGACCATAAGATACCATAAATGGGTTGTTTCCCAACCATCCCCCGAAAAATGGCAGGCAGCTTTATGCCATAGGGTGACTCTATGTGACTCTCACATCACCAGTTGATATACACCAAATCAGCTCTTAAATTGACCTTGGTAAGGTAAGTTCTTATAGATAATCATGCTACCTGTATTTTTTGGAGTATGACATATTATTAACTGACCCATAGTGAAACCTATCAACCAAGTAGTATAACTGATTGGTGGTTTGGAACATTTGGATTATTTTTCCATCTATTGGGAATAATCATCATCCCAACTGACGAGTTGTCATATTTTCAGAGGGGAGGCTCAACTACCAACCAGTGAATCCATTATTATCAATGATTCACCATTATTCACCATTATTAACCTATCAACCAGTCGTAGTATAATGAGTAAAAATAGCCATATTAATCAGCCATATATTAGCCATATATCAGCCATATTAACCATACTAATTCGCATATGGCAACGGTTTCCCTATATTTTTCAGTGGCTCCTGCCTGGGGGGGTTTTCGACCCTGGGGATCACTTAGGATTTATTTGGCTCAGTGGACTTCGCATCTGCTACTGGTAACGGCAACGTTGTTTCGGTGAGTCCCGGAGGGGGACAGGAAAACATCGGTAAGTTGGTTGGAAAACTAGATATAGTAACTAATATAGTAACCAGGATTTTTGGCGGATACTGCATATCTACAGTTCGAATGGATTAGAAACCAACTTTTCACTTGGGGGGCTTTGCTGCAGATCCACTGTTTTTTTGGTTCCTGGATTCCGCAGATGAATAAACAAAGTAGTTTGGGCCCCCAAACTTTTTTGGGGTGTAGGGACTTTCCATTCAGCCAAATACACAAGTTTTGCTTAAACGATCGCAGAGTTCGAACAATTTATTGATATTTATGGGACATGATGATGTATTTTTCCGGCCTTGCACTTCCCAATAAGTTGAGTTTTTGCGTGCAACATGGTTGATATTTGAGGCACTTCCGATCTTGTAACCTGAGCGCTTTTTCCCAAAGTTCACACAGAAAAGCGGCACGAAGCTAGTGCTACTGATCAGTGGGCCAGGCTCCTGTTGGCGAACATATCCAAGACATAATTCATAACTATAATATATATATATATATACATACAGTAATTATATATGTAGAATAATATATATATATATATACACATAGACGGGGTTTGTTTGCTTTACTTTGGGATTCTTCTACCCCGTAGCCCCATGAGGAGACTCTTTCCACCCCAGCAACTGGACCCCCAATAGATTTTCCGTGTTGCGAGAGGCGTGTCATCTCTGCGAGATATATAATTTACTAACATGAATATGTTTTCCAATTCAAGTGATAGTTAGCCGTATGTAGAAACTATCATGTGTTGCGTGAGGTTGTGAAAACCCATGGTCGTACCTTGCTAAGGTTTTTACTACTGGTCCTGCTGGCCATGTATGGCTTGGCTGCAGTGCGGGCGGAAGATTTGAGAAGTCCCCTGTTGCGACCCATCTACATGTTCCTGCCGGCACCTGAGTAGCAAATCCTGTGACGAAAACGTTGAACTTTCTTGGGTTCTCATGAAGTATGATGAAGTCAACTGAGCGGTGGCTGCCAAACTCCTGTTGGTAAATGATTACAGGGGGTTGCAATATATTGGGCATCATCAGAATCCAGTGGGGGAAATCCTTACCAGGGAGGACACATGCTTTTGAACACTGCTAAACGAAGATCAACTAAGTATATGCAGTGGTAGGTAATGTGGCTAGGATGGTGGCCAAAGTGGACAATGGCATGTAAGTTCTGAATTGTGAAAGTGGGGGTGATCTTTTAGACACGCGTGGAGGATTACCAAGATATCTCAGTAACTTCTGTGGGAAGATCTCCCAATATTTACCAATGGCAGTGTATAAGAGATTGATCAACTGGAGGGTGTGCTGGGGGGAAATTGTCTATAGAATTCAGGGTCCACAAACGGAAGTCAAACAATTTGACGTATTCTCACGATTTCCCGTGTGCAATTGGCAGAAATCTGCCCTTCAAGCCGATTCCCAGTTTCCAGTGTTGAACCCCCCATTTACCCTGGTCATTGGCTCAAAAGATGAGATCTATGGGCCGATTTTGGGTCATTTCTTGTGGAATCCCCTTTCTCACCTCAAAGATCCCCCTTCAAAAACGGACTGATCACTATGCTATCTATGATGTTCACTGATCACTATCGGCATGAAAACCTAGAATTATGATTTTCCAGATGTGGGTATGGATCAATACCTATAGATACATTTTTAGTGGGATGAACATCCATTCACCAGCTATTTTGATGTTCACCAGGGGTACCAGGTTTTGACCCATCCCCATGTTGACAATGCTCAGAGTGATGAGAATTGCATCAGCCGCTGCCAAGTCGTCTTTCTTAGGAGAGACATTCCTGCTTCGGCCTTTGTCATGAACAGCAGTCCGCCGCGCGTCGGAGAAGAATCGGGGCATCTCTAGAACCAATGATTGCTGCTTATATAAGATGAGACACCTCCCATTTCCAATCCATTTCCCATATCTTTCCTACATTTCAGGATCTTTCAGGACTTGAGGATGTCATTAAAACTGGGTAAATCATAAGGACCTCACTGCGACCTCACTAGAATGATGGTTTATAATGGTTTATAATACTGGTTTATATATACAGTTGTAACATATAATATGTAATTAGTTGTAACTATATATATATATTTAATAACAATAATAATAACATTAGTAACAATAATAACAACAATAATAACAATAATAACAATAATATAATGATACAATAATAATAATAATACTAATAATAATAATAATAACAATATCAATAATATATAATAATAATGATAATAATAATATAAAATAATAATAATGATAATCATAATAATAGTAATAGTAACAATCATAATATTGAATAATATCACAAAATAGCCGAATTGTTCAGGCTAGTGAAATATATCAAATAGGAAATGACAACTATAAATATGGAGAATCTAAGCGGAACTGTAGATTTATTGCAACTTACTAGATTAAACAATCATGGTCTATCCAAGAGAAATCACTATGAAAAACCCAGACTTTGATTGATTGGATTGGATTGGATTGGATTGGATTGATTGACCCAAACAATGATGATCTTTCAGGCCTTGCTTTATCAGAGCTCTGCAGCGTTGTTGCGCTTGGGATCTCTACTGCTCTGGCTTCTGCTCATCGTCAGCATGCCCGAGCATCAGCCGCTATGATTATCGACCGTGACCGGGGCCCTGGGCTGGTTGCTTGTGAGATAGAAAAAAGGAGATAAGAAAAGCCTTGTGTAACTGTTTCAACATGATGTTGTTCTTTATGTGTTCTTTTTCTGGGTTGCTCTACTAGTATGTCAGTATGTCAGTAAATGTCGGAAACTTGTCTCCCGTCCTGGGACCCCAATGATCCATAACCGTCATTGCAAGTGACCTTTCATGAGGAGAAGAGTACATAACAGATAGACACATACACAGTATATGTATATATTGTATATATATATATATGTGTGTAATGTATATATATATATATAATGTATATATACATATGTAATGTATATACCTACATATATCTATATGCGATATACATACCTTAGAACATTGCTTTGTTGGGAAAAATGTGGTCGATCAAGATCCAAGATCCACAAATACCAAGCCATCCTTATCTCTAACCAGGGACATCTGTGTGGTGCCAATTACCAACTTTGTCGACAAGACTTGCCACGATGTGCCCATGTGGCTTCTTGGAGTCGACGCTTAACGTTGTTGCTGTGGCAAACCCTAGCCCTAGTACTATGGGGAGTAGATCAACATGTTAGAATTCATACGGCTTATAGTGATTAGTGATTAGTAGGAATTCACAGTGCATTATTATCACTATTTTTAGGAACACCCCTCCAGATGAACTCGTGGTTGTTGAACCATGGATTGACACAGGTTGAGACGAGATTTTTTCCTGGAATCCCTGCCAGGTTTTGGAGTGAGTTTGGCTTAACTCAAAATGGATGTTTGGATAGTTTGATAGTGAAGTGATGAACAATTGCCCTCTGGTAATGACTAACGTAGCTATTGGAAATGGCCATTTATAGTTGATTTACCCAGCTATAAAATGGTGATTTTCCATAGCTATGTTAGTTAGTTTACCAGAGGGTATTTGACCAACAGGAGTGGTATTGATGACAGCTTCGGGTTTATTCAGATACCTTTTGGACAGGCTGAACTGCCTGTGCTCCAACCGGTTGGTTTGGCGACCCTATCCATCTTCCGCCTGTGTCATGTATTTGTATATATATATATATACCCTCTGGTAATTTAACATAGCTATTGAAAATGACCATTAATAGTGGATTTTCCCATTAAAAATGGTGATTTTCCATAGCTATGTTAAATTACCAGAGGGTATATATGCACATTCATTAATCTCTATAATATTACATACGTATGTATGTACTTATATATATATATATTTAACTATGAACTACACATTAAGATTTATACATAAGCACACAGACACATATACATATAACTATACGTGTCCCATATATAACTCAACTGTATCTCCAGCAACGCCGCCGCCAGTGGGCGCCGGAGGCTGTCCAGCGGCTGCGGGACCTTCGCTCCCAAGGAATACCGCAACTGCGTGGCCACCAGCTGGATGCAGTCGCTGGGCGAAGATCTGGGCAGATTCTCATTGGGATTTGTAGTGGGATTGAATGGGATTTAGTGGGATTTTAGTGCGATGAAATAGGATTTTAAGTGGGGTTCAACTGGATTCAATGCGAACCATATATTTTCTGGGATTGTCATTGGTATGGAAATCAGGGTGGAAATCATGTGGAAATGAAATGATAGGGATTTAAGGGAAATCTTTGTTTGATATGGTGAATTTATGTGAATTTAATCATCAACAATAGTGATTTTATGGGGTTGAATACGGTAAACTCAACAATAAACCATTGATATTTTTTAATTGGGTAGATATCCTTATTAATGCATTTACCAGCAACTTATGGTCCCAAATGAAGACATCATGGGATATATTAATAGGAATATATTGGGCTCAGCCATTGATACTGTATGAATTACGGTACGGCAAATTTACGGGTACAGTATTCTTGTTGTAAAACAGCCAATCATGGGAATATATGGAGGTTTCCTGAAATGGGGGTACTCCCAAATCATCAATGTTAATAGGATTGTTCATTGTAAACCATCCATTTTGGGGTACCACCATTTCAGGAAAGCCCCATATGGTGTTTATATTGAGTGGGATGTTTTTTGAGGTATGTGAGTCGTGAGATGCCTTATTTATTTTGGGACCATAGAGGAGGTCTTCCCAGAAATGTATGGCCATGGGATGCCATGGGAAGATGGTCATAGTTTGCTTTGACCATGAAGAGTGGCCTGGATAAGAAGTGGATAAAATGAGGACTCAAAGCATCAAATATGGAACAACTCAGAAGACCCTGGGGGCTTCATAAGGGTGGCTGGAATTGTGTCTTGGCCACTCATCTTCAAATCCTGAAAATTGGCAGATTTGGGATATGTTGGAGAGGCCAATTCTTTTGGGAGCAACTTGCTTTCCAAATGTATTGAAACCAATGAGGCTCATTTGCACCAATGCTGGGCTTTTCACAAGATCTTTGCAGATGATTCCGCAGGGTTTCCACATGGTTCCATGTACTGAGAATCAAGGTCAAATCGTGGTGTTTGCCTTGTTTTGGGCCGTGAAACCCCTGTTCTGCAGAGCTTGTGGGAGTCCACTTTTTCAATAACTCTGCTGGACGATCAGCTTGTGAAGTGACGCTCTACTTCTGTTTTTTTTTGCACCCAAAGAAAAAAAACAGGATGGTTGGAGCCGTGCCTCATGTTCAGCCGGGTTGGCTCAAGCACCCGATTTGTTGCAATTTGGATCTTTGTTTCTCTGACTTTGAACCGTACTTTGCGACCGAGGTACGGTTATTGCAACTTGCTGGCGGCGCAGTGCCGGAACCAAGCTCTGGGCAAGATCAATCTGCCAATCAGCATCGTCTTTAACAGCGGTATCAGCCATTGGGCGGCAGCTTTTTCAACGGGTGACCTCCATAGATAATCATAGTAAGTTAGGAAGGGTCAACCACCAGCAACCACTGATGAAGGCTTGTTTTTTTGGGGGGGGTCGTCTTCGGGGATTGGTTGATTCCGCATGCAAAATGATAAATGGGAAAAGATATCATCAACCTGGAACAATCATTGAAATAGACGGATATGTTTGGTTCCAATCTGGCGGAACTTTATTTTGCGAAGCGCATCCAAACATTGGCCGTCCTCATGTTCATCATCATAGTGTTCATTACTGTCAAGTCATCGTCAATATCATCACCACCATCACATCACCATCACCACTATCACCATCACCACCATCACCATCCTCATCATGCTCATCATGCTCATCATGCTCATCATGCTCATCATGCTCATCCTGCTCATCATGCTCATCATCCTCATCATCCTCATCATCCTCATCATGCTCGTCATCCTCATCATCCTCATCATGCTCATCATGCTCATCATCCTCATCACCCTCATCATCCTAATCATCCGAATCATCCTAATCATCCTAATCATCGTCATCCTTGTCATCCTTGTCATCCTTTTCATCCTTGTCATCCTTTTCACCCTTGTCATCATCCTCCTCCTCATCCTCCTCCTCCTCCTCATCATCATCATCATCATCATCGTCATCATCATCATCATCACCATCATTTTCATCATTGTCATAATCATAATTGTCATCATGGTCACCATCAGAAATCTCATCAGAATGTTCACCATGTTTTCAATTGTTTTTTGTTTAACATGGTCATTGTCATCATCATGCTTATGATCATCGTCATCATCTTCGTCATCATCATTGTCGTCGTCGCCACCGTCGTTGTCGTTGCCGCCGTTGTCGTCATCATCGTCACCATCACTATTTTTGCCATTGTCGTTTTAATCACCACCTACTTCCATCAACATCAGCATGATTGTCTCTGCACCATCATTACCATCACCGCTAGCATTTTCATCAGGTGAGTTGCAAGTTGTGGTCCTAAGGAGAATGTCGTTTGATGTAGTTTGGACATGTGAGGAAAGGATCCCAAGCCATCGGAACAGCATGGCCAACCTTCTCTCGCAACTTCTACCAGAAGAGTACCACTTAGCAACTTGAGAACCACAAAATATTGTAGGTCATCCTGTCATCCCAGATCTGCCTTACTGTGGATCATCCCGAAGTCATGAGTTTTGTTCCCAAAGGTATGGGACAATCATGGGATATATAGGATACCAGTTGGGGAAGCTGTAACCATTGGTTCCCCCATTGCTACCATGGGAATATTCCAGCCATCAAGCTATAAGCATCTGGGACCGAAGTCGAGGCTTGATGTCGGTACTGGCGCCATTTCTTTGGCTGGGCTGTGTTCCTTGGTGGGGGCCGGATGCCATCGGTTTGGTTGGAAAAACAACTGGCTTCAGCTGCACGAATGAGTGATATTTTAGCAATTAATATATACTAATAAAGATTGCAGTCGACGCGTTTTCACGCATACGGCATACGGACTCTGCGTGTCCCGTTGCGGTCCAACTGAGGTTGATTCCATAGTCCAGTCAACGAGATTTCAACCATCGGCAGATTACGGGTCCCACATGTTCCAACAATGGGATGAGTACACACCACATGATTTTTCCATGGCATTCAACAATGTCCAGTGCATTCTGAAAATCCTTGCAAAATCACTGCTGCTTAGCAGAGGTTTTATGGCTTTCCGTCCGAAAAGGATTCTGCATCTGAACTGCAGATGATACCCGACGGTAGTGGTGGTTTGCTGCTACTTTGGTACCAGAACCTGCTCCCATCTGTTTGAAGGGTGCAGTTCCAGGTATGAGTGCTAAAATACTGGGGTTATATCATGTTATATCCCAACTTTAAACATCGTTAAACTGGGGGTTATAATATGTTATAGCCACGATTATACTCATAGCCATAACTTCAACTGCACCGTACTGCACCCCCGAAGTTGGAGGTCCAAAGGGATCAGCAACCCGAGGTATCTTCAACACGCCCAGGGCCTCTGAACTGACACTGGCCATTCGAGAAGCAGCCGCTCGTTGTTCAGTGGTCGTTTTTGATGGGGAGGATGATCTAATATGATCTAATGATATTTATAATGCATGGATTTTCTTGCAGCAGGCATGGGTATGTTGGGGATGTTTGAGGTAATTGCATGTAATTACTCTATTCTTGACATAGCCAAAAAAACCACCGGAGAGGGTGAATCCGGGTATCCGAAAAAATTGGGGATCGAACATGGGGTGCTTTCCCCAATTGAAATTGACCAGTGAATGGGAAAAACATGGAAAAAACATGGAAACAAAACATGGGAAAATGATGATTAGCAGAGGGGTAGCCATGGGTAGCCTATTTTTAGACATCCCGGAAAGTTGGGAATCGATCCGGGAGGATCTCCTCGAAAACGATACCTCTTACCTTGGCAGACATGGAATGCTTGGAAGGCTGAAGCTGTGGCTTAGTTCATGCTCTGAAAGGAGGACTTAAAATTGTCATTCCCCAGCTGGAAACATGTTTTTTTGTTGCGATGGGTAGGTTATCCAAACATCTTGCCATGTGCAAGTTATGAAACATGGACAATTGATTGATATTGTGGAGATAGAAATTATTAAAAACTCATTAAACTAACCCCAACCCTGTGGATTTTGCCCCCTCATCTTTCGCCCAGGAAATTGACCTCTCTGAGGATGTAGAGCAATATCAGGCGGCAATCTACCAGCGGTTGGGGGGAAATTTTGCATTTGAAGATTTTCCTGGCAGATATCAACAAAAACATGTAATATCATGATAATCATGGGAACATTCATCAGATTTTCTATCCCCAAACCAAGATGTCGATCTATCTTTGGCCAAAGATGGAGGATTTATTACATACCTCAACCTCCAAGATATAGCCATATTCATGGGGAATATGACGAGGACAGCAACATACAGCAACAGTCTTCCAACCTTCCAAGCCCAGTCGCAGGGTCTATGTTAGAGGGTATCTTTCTGGGCAAACTAGTGACCTCACGTCGACCTCACTGGATTTGATGGTTAATAAGGGGACATATCCCAAGATATCCCATTATAATCCATTATAGCCTTATTTCAGGTTCGTGAATTACGATAGTTATTTATAAATTACCCAGATCTTTGGCAATCTGAAAGGTGTTCTGGGGTAAGGACAGCTTGGTGGTGTCAAGTCTTACCTTCCCAGAACCATCCAGGGCCCCTGGAAAACCGGAAACATGACTTAGAAGGAACTAAGGAGGTACGAGCTGTTTTCCCATCTGTTCTTTTTGGGTTGGTTGGAGGGTCACGGAACAGTAATTATACATTGTTTTCAGCCAGATGCGGACCGAGTGTCAGAGGTGTTTATTGGGCCCTCCTTGAAGCGAGCTTTGGCTTCATTGGCGGATTATTAGCCACCCTGGTATACTGAGTCTACACCCATACGTATGTTGCATATAAAATGCCTGCTTCTTTTCAATGCAGCTAGATAGATTATATCGGATCGGATTGGATTAGGTTAGACAGACACACAAATAAATAGAGAACATTCACATGTATTTTGTGTATTTTGTATGTTCATATTCATACTGCACATGCGTGAAAAGACAAAACTCATGTGGTCAAATCACTTGATGTTCCCATGGCGACCCTATCGGGGGTAAACCAACCCCACGTTGGTGGAAGGAAGAAGTTGCTTGGGGGGTGAGCAATCTACTCTCCGCCGCCTTTATCCTTTTTTGGGGCGTCTAAGAGTAGCCATGGACTTGGCTTGAATTCCGGGTAAACCCTGCATGGGTGCTTTTATTTGGGGATGGGTCAACACCTATTATTACCATCTTTGGGGGAATAAACTGGATAAACATCCACCAGCCACCCATGACTTGGGTAGCGTTTGGGTACCAGGATACCATAGAACTGTTGTTTTTTTTGGTTACCCTCTGGTTATTTAACATAGCCATGGTATAGATGGCCCATTTATAGATGGTTTACCTATTAAAAATGGTGATTTTCCATGGCTACGTTAGTCATAACCAGAGGGTAAAATCGCCATGAGACTCTCCAAGACACCATGAATTCCTAAGGCCTAATGCGATTGGACCTGGCCTTAACGCTGATCGATATTGCCTCGGACGTCTTAGTGTCCCGGACTTACTTATGACAACCTTGGGTTTACGTGGCATCCAAGAAGCCACGTCATATCTGGGGGGACACAGTAAACACTAGTCAACACTAGTCAACACTAGTCAACACTCCAAAAAGTGCTAGATATATTCAGTCCATCTTCAGCGCAAACACAGCCACTTATTGATCTATCATGACTCAGAATCCAGAGCAGAACATAACAGAAGCAAAATCTATTCCCTCGGGTTGAAATCCAGTAAATTGAGGCCAGTAGATTCCCACCAACACACGGTAGATTTACATTGCCTTACACACTAATCATTACACCCCTCCATAGGAAAGAGTTGATTTTTTCATGGCTTCAATCCCCATTGTTGCTGCTGAACTTCCCCCTCATTATCTTTGGCAAACATTCCATGAAGTAGGTTTTTGTTGTTTCATGTTGTTTCAACATCCTCTTAGAATCTCCTATGTTTGTTGGTCAAAACCATCTCCATTCCCACCATTGATTTATTGTTATTTATTGTTATTTAAATCTACATCGTGGTTGGTAAGCCTATACCGATTCCCACATCACCCTCGTTGGTTGGATAGGGCATATAGATCCCTCTCATTCCATCATTGTTGCTGGGTACAGTATCCCCTTGTATTTTTGTTGGCAAGGGTGGGCAACCCTAAGCCGATGCCTTCCAACCTGTTTGGAAGGCCAGGAAACCATCTTCAGCCCACCTTCCGCATCTTCACTCGCATATTTTTATATGGCAGTGTGTCAAAACCTTGTACCCCTGGTGAACATCAAAATAGCTGGTAAATGGATGTTCATCCCACTAAAAATTGTATTTTCATAGGTATTGATCCATACCCATATAGGATATATAGGTATCCCCAATGGATTGAATGGAGATGTCCCAAAATTTTGACCAACGCCTAGGTCTTCTTCGTCTTTGCCGGTGCCTCCAACTGGACCTTGGCGCTTTTGCAGCTGCTGATTCTCAGCAGCTGTGGAGCCAGCACCTATGGCCTGCTCCGCAAGCACCTGGCAGGCATGGCGCCTCGGCACGCGATTGGCACTACGGTGGTCGCGCCAAAAAGCTGAGATTTCAGCAGGTTTGACCAGGAAAATGTTAAAAAAGCATAAAAAAGCTATAGGATAAATGATTTTTTTAGGCAACCAATTAATATGGAAATTAGCCAGGCAAGATGCGGGAAGCAACAGCAAGTGGGATTTATACTGCAAAAGATGCAGATTTGAGCATCGAGAAGGGGCATTCATACCACCAGATCAAGAAGTTCACCTTCAATTTATTCTGGGATTCAAGTTAGCATCCGGTGCAACACAAGGAACCACCAAGAATATCACTTTTTTTTGCATGGATTTGTGATGTTTTGCCAACAAAATTGGGGATGATACAAACAATAATGTATGGTCACTCAGCTAATGGTGACTAGTTTCTAGGCGACAACCTGGCCACTGGTATGACCAGGCTCAGTGAAGCCAGTAATGCGAAGCGGAGTTCGCTTGGAAGGGCGACTTCACAAAACCCCAAATCTGGGAAAGTGAACAAGGATTTCAGAATTTGGAGTCTTGATCAGCCAAAATATGAGCATTTCACCAAAAATTGGGGCTTCACTAGCGAAACTTCCGCGGGTTGAACTGGGTTGAAGCGACAAGGATGCGAAGCGCACCAGCAAAAACAGAAAACTATCGCCGGCATTTTGGATGGTCAAATCAGCTATAGACATTGGGATGACCAACAACAACACCAGCAGCAACAGCAACAGCACCAGCACCGGCACCAGCACCAGCACCAGCACCACCACCACCACTACCACCACCACAACCACCACAACCAGCAGCAGCAGCAGCAGCAACAGCAGCAAGAACAAGTCAACAACAAGGACAACAAGGACAACAAGAACAGCAAGAAGAGCAAGAAGAGCAACCTCGAAAGCAACACTGATTAACAATGAAACTAGTAACAACAATAAAGGCAGTTCATCTACGAAAAAATGGTTGATGATGGTGATGGAAATGATGATGATGATGATGATGAGGATGATGAGGATGATGATGATTATGACGATGATGATGATGATGATGAGGAGGAGGAGGACGACGACGACGATGATGATGAGGATGAGGATGAGGATGCTGCTGATGATGCTGATGATTATTATTACCATGATGATGATGATAGCAAAGACATCTCCCGATTGAGGGGTCAATTTTTGACCCGTTGCCATGCCGGGGATCTGACAAAACACAGAAGCGATTGAATGTTTGCCAGAAAGTGAGATATTTACCTATGGTCATTTGAAGACGCGCAACAATAATGGTACTGTAGAATCACCGATTCGCATATTGATACGACTCGGACGAAACAGTCCAAAACCACCTGGCGTTGGCACATTTTCCTCCCAATGAACTGCTCCCTTTCATGTGCTCCATGCCTTAAAAAGTGGACTAACAATCTTAGCACTTTGAAATGCTCACCAAATCACCAATAAAAATGTAACTCAGACATACAACACCCCAAGATATTGACTTCTCCACGAAGGTCCCTGAACGTGGCAAGGTCCAGTACCTTGCACGTACGGGTTTCCAGTAAAACATCCAGAAAGGAGAAACAGGGATTCTTACCCCCTGGTAACCTCCCAAAATCCCAATTTAAACAGTTATAAGTAGGTTATAAGTTATAAGTTACCCCTATTTTTCCATAAAACTCCTTATAGGATTTATAGGTAGTCGTATTATAAGTTACCAAACATTTTCCAGGCTTAAAACATCACCGAAACTCGCCGTGTGTTTTTCTGCTCCTATTTCCTCGGACAATTTCGGCCCGCAGGATGTGCTGAGGGAATTGCTGAAGGCCTATCAGTCAGGCGTCTTCACGGAGGCGAATTGGGATGTTTTTCTGCTGGTTGGTGGTGACTGGATGTGACTGGAACATGGCTGGAAAAAATGACTTTCCCATGTCATATTGGGAATGGAAAATCATCATCCCAACTCAAGAGTTGTCCATGATTTTTCAGAGGGGTAGGTCAACCAGCAACCAGTCTGGGATGTCAATGTTGATCTTAATGGTGATTGATTCATAGGTGTTTTAATGGATTAACAATGATTTATGGTTTTTATGGATGAACCACAATGTTAGTTATGATTTTTTAATGCCTCTGGTGATATATGGGAGGTTTCCTAAAATGGTGGTACCCCAAGTCACCATGGATTTCAGTACTAAAGTGGTCTAATGACTTGGATGATTTGGGGTACCCCTATTTTAGGAAACCCCCCATAATTGGTGATTGATTAATAGGTATTTTAATGAATTTTCACAAAATCATGGTTTATCCCTGTATGGTAATTTCAGAAAACTTTTTAGGGGAAAAAAATGAGACGAGTTTCCCAAAGAAACGATCTACTTTCAGTTAATGACCTTACCATCTGGTTATGACTAACATGCCATGGAAAATCAACATTTTTTTTGATAAAACATCTATAAATGGGCCATCTATACCATGGCTATGTTAGTCATAACCAGAGGGTAACTATGGATATGATTTATCATTGATCGACACGTCGGATTCAGAATGGATCATATGGGATTGAACCATCCAATTAGGATATCTACATTAAAAACGCTGGCGAGCGTCATTGTCACGTGGATTTAAACTTGATCATCACTCGCCAGAAATGCGTGAGATCGAAACCCAGCTACTGGGAGGTCCAACAGCAATCAACCGCCATAAAAATGGTGGGGACTAAACCTCAATATAATATGTTGGGTTCAACCAACATTAGTCCCATTCCATCATCATTTCACCATCATTTCACCCGAGGACTACTTGAACCTCGTGTTGTTGGAACGACAGCGGCGCTGTCCCCTGTCCCTCTTCTTACAGCTCTATGGATCCATGTTTGCAGCTTGGCCTATGCTATGCTACCCCCTGTTGGTTATGGGACGATGAATGGGATTTAACCATCAATTACACTATGTTTAAATTACATTACATAAATAGTAATGTTAGTTTCCATAGCTATGTTAGTTTCCATAGCTACGTTGGTTATTTACACTCTGGTAAACTAACATCGCGAACTGGAAAATCACCAACATGGTAAATCAACTATTTCTATGGCCAATTTCAATAGCTATGTTGAATTACCAGAGGGTATAAGGGTTTTGATGTGGGAAACCCAGTTTTGGAAACCTAGCCCAATGGGGCCTGTGGGGATGGTTGGTCGATGATTCTGCATGGGGGGGTTGTACTACCCTGTGCGTACATTATATATGATTATATATGTATACATACACAATGTGGCCCCCCCCCCAGTTGTAAGTTGGTTTATAAACCGCATTAACTATAGTTATAGGTATCATAAACCATAGTTATGGGAGTTATTTGCAGCAACTGAATGCTATCGTAAACGGGGGCCGCACATTGTGTATATGGGGCTATCATATACCCTCTGGTAATTTAACATAACTATGGAAAATCACCATTTTTAATGGGAAAATCCACTATTTCACCAGCTCCATCAACAGGGACCTCCGAAATTCTTCACCAGCTCCAAGGACACCGAAAAAAAGACCATGCCTCTGGTCTACCTCTTATTTAAAGAGTTTGCTGTGAGGAACATCACCACTTACATTGAAATAATAGGATTTAATAGGATTTAATAGGTAAATCAATAAATCATCATATCACCATCGATTATCTATAAATGGGCCATTCTCCATAGCTATGTTAAATATCCAGAGAGGGTAGTCTTAATGGAAACGCAGAGCAAAAGTTGGTATGGGTCGAAGAATGTCAAAAACATCACCGTCGCAAAAAAAAAAACAAAACATTTGATCCAAAAACTGGTCTCCAGAATGATACTCCACAATTCACTCAGACAGGGTACCTCAAAATCCAATGGTTTATCATCACTTTCCCCGCAAAAGATGGTAATGGTGTATTCTCTTGGTTTATGATCATTTTCCCCATGATATCATTGCAATAAAATTACTTATTCCCAAATCGCATACCTAAACTGCTCTCATTCATTTCTAAAATCCCCTATGTTACATGATTCCATCACAATGTTTCATGGTTAAATCTCCATTGGTGGTGAAATCAGTAAAACATCTCCATGTTTTTTCATGGTTAAATTCACTAAGTTTTCAAGATGAATTCTCCATTTGTCATGGTCCAAATCCCCAGAAACTCCTCCACCTTAGGTCACCAGCAATGCCCTGGTGGCTGCCATTTTCTCGCTGGGAATCCTGAGCAGTTTGCTGAGTGCCGTGCAGGGAACCTTGGCAAATTCTTGTGCTTCGCCATTGATTTCCATTCGATTCCCATGATTTTCCCATGAATTTCCATTCCCAATATTCCGAATCCTGAATTTGTTATGAAATCATGAAATTCTTGCTTCATCGCTGATTGTTTGATTCGAGGGATTTGGTTTTCTGGAATTTTCAGACAAATGTCCTGAGCTTCGGAAATGGGATTTTGGATGCCTCGTAGTTTCCGCCTTGGAGTTCGATGGGCATGGGGGATGGAGCTCACAAGGTTGCCATTCTTTGATGGTAACCCTCTAGAGAGATGGACATCTGCTAAATTTGTAGCTTTTTTAAGTAGGGTTTTACATTTCCAACTTTTTTTGGGGGTTACAAAATACGTGGGGAGAGCCTATTTTCTGCTAAACGACATGGCAAGAGTCTTTTTGGGTAGTAAAATTTAAGGAAGTGGATCTAGAACACATAGAACTCTTGAGTGATTTTCATGCTCGAATCTGGGGAAATTTGAAGCCATCAGAGTCTGGGGATTCAACTTATGTAAACCCTTTTCCAAGGTGATGGTTTCTGCAAAATTGAGGTCATTTGGGTCATGTTTGAGAAGAGGAAACCGTCAATATTTTTGCGTCTCCCAATGACTTGAGAAACACCCAGCTAAAAAAAATGGCTTTGTATGAATATGGGTTATATAATGTTATATACACCCACAAACCATTGTTTATCATCATTTTTCCGCCATAAACATTGCCATTCTGGTGGTATACTGCAGTATATCTCCCACGATATCTCTACAATCCAACTGAATCCCATAGAGTTTCTATTGTTGATGGCTATATAACTATCACATTTTCAGACACACCCAGATCTCATACCATATTGTTGCTCTGATATGTATATATTTGTATATATATACATACTTATTATGTGAGCTCTATATATATATAATGTACATGTGTAATATATATATATATATATGCACATGTATGTAATATATATATATATATTTGATCCTCGTTTTTGACGGTAAAGTGCTGGTAAATCCATTCACAAATCCAATTTCAGTTATTTTCCATTGACAAGAGCCAACAGCCATGAATGGAGCACATCCATAAATCAATGGCTAAATCCCTGATTCTTCACTAAAAGACCCGAAAAAATGGACCTCCCTTGGAGTTTGGCAGCTTTGCAGAGGAGGCTTCCTCCACATCCACCTGGATCTGGATGTGGCCCCTTGGTCGCTGAATGTGTGAGGCGTCACAGGGCCCTGTGGAGTCGTGGAGGACGCGAAGATGACAAGAAAACAGGGTCCATGAATCTACGAATATAGATTTTAAGGGGAAACAATATTCATCAATATGCATCAATAATCATCAATAACCATCAATAATCAGCAATAATCATCAATAATCATCAATATATACATCCATCCATCCATTCATTCATTCATTCATTCATTCAATCATTCATTCATTCAATCATTCATTCATTCATTCATTCATTCATTCATTGATTCATTGATTCATTGATTCATTGATTCATTGGTTCATTCTTTCATTCTTTCATTCTTTCATTCATTCATTCTTTCATTCATTCATTCTTTCATTCATTCATTCATTCATTCTTTCATTCTTTCATTCTTTCATTCTTTCATTCTTTCATTCATTCATTCTTTCATTCATTCATTCTTTCATTCATTCATTCATTCATTCATTCATTCATTGATTCATTCATTCATTGATTCATTCATTGATTCATTGATTCATTGATTCATTCATTCATTGATTCATTGATTCATTGATTCATTGTTTCATTGATTCATTGATTGATTCATACATTCATTGATTGATTCATTCATTCATTGATTGATTCATTCATTCATTCATTCATTGATTCATTGATTCATTGATTCATTGATTCATTGAATCATTGATTCATTGATTCATTGGTTCATTGATTCATTGATTCATTGATTCATTGATTCATTGATTCATTGATTCATTGATTCATTGATTCATTCATTCATTCATTCATTGATTCATTCTTTCATTCATTCATTCATTCATTCATGCATTCATTCATTCATTCATTCATTGATTCATTGATTCATTGATTCATTCATTCATTGATTCATTGATTCATTCATTCATTGATTCATTGATTCATTCATTCATTGATTGATTCATTGATTCATTGATTCATTGATTCATTGATTCATTGACTCATTGACTCATTGACTCATTGACTCATTGACTCATTGATTCATTGATTCATTGATTCATTGATTCATTGATTCATTGATTCATTGATTCATTGATTCATTGATTCATTGATTCATTGATTCATTGATTCATTCATTCATTCATTCATTGATTTATTCTTTCATTCATTCATTCATTCATTCATTGATTGATTGATTCATTGATTCATTGATTCATTCATTCATTCATTCATTGATTCGTTGATTCGTTGATTCGTTGATTCGTTCATTCATTCATTCATTCATTCATTCATTCATTCATTCATTCATTACACACATATTTACATATATATAATATGGGTAAATTATCATGACGTCACTGCGACCTCACTGGAAATGATGCTTAGAAAGGGCAATTATCCTCAAAAAGGCCCTATTTCAAGTTAGTGAATTATTGTAATTTACCCAGATGAATCTATTTATCTTGTATATATGTCTGTGTGGGTGAATTAAAAAACACCTCACCGCAACGTCACCAGAAACGATGTGTACTAAGGGATAGTTCAGGTTTGTGAATTGTGTGAAGATCTTCATATACAATGACGATATGCTATGATATGCTGATATACTGATATATATATGTGTATATACACACATATATATATATTACATACTGTATAATGTATATTCATGTCTATTCCCTAAAAAAGAACCAGACATGGGTGATGTGTGCCGACAACAACTGCCCCATTGGGGATGCTCCCAAAGTTTGTCAAGTGACACGTGATGAGAAACTTTTGCAAACTTCAAAGAATTCTACAATCCACTAGAATTACTAGAATTCTAGTGATTCTTGTCTAGTGATGATACTGGAGATAAGAAGAACTCCGAATAACTTACAATCCAAATGGCTGGATGTCCTACTCCAAATGGCTAGAGTTGGGCGTGTGAGTTTGTCTTAAAACAGGTTGCCTCTACATGAACACTGAGTCATCATCCCTATTCGATTGGCCATTGATGGTTGGGCAATGTTGGGCACACTCCATTCTGCACACCCAAATATATTTCAATATATCCCAGGTCCCATGAAATATCGATTTTTGTATCCCCATTGTATCCTGCTAAAAAATCCCATTGTATCCCCAGCAAAAACCTCATGTATCTCATGAAATAGCTTATTATCATGGTTAAATCCATATGGTTGATGGCTAAGTTAGTTATGTTTCCCACGGAAAAACCATTGTGGAAGGATGATGGCTTATCATACCTTGGAGATCTTACCTTTTGGCTTGCAAGGACGAGCATTTCCCTGCCTAAAGCAGTGTGAGATCGCACCGTGAATCCCAGTTTCATTCAAAAGTGTTCATTCTATATATACATATACAATCATATACACGTATCTACGTATGTACGAATATTATCTATATAGTAATACATATCTATATAGTAATACATATCTAATTATTACATAATAATGCATATATTGATATACATATGCATATATATATATATACATATATATATTATACATATATATATATGCACCATCATACACCAATGTAAATGCATATTCATCTCAGTTTATTTGCCACCTCACGGGGAATCGCACCTTGTCTCGAAGATTGGCTCCGAATTCATTGCTTGGCGACCGCGCCGGCGTGCCCCGCGGAGCCAAAGTGCAACTGCTCCATTTCGGGGCGCGCTGAAATTGGCGCGACGGCTGGTACTGACGGACCGTCCCTGGATTGGCACAATCACAAGAAATCACAACATGTCGCTGCGACCCAAGTGTTAGTTTTGATGAATGGAATTGGGAATCCATCAGAAATATATGGACAGAATTCCATATATTTAACAGTTAATTGATGAATTGATGGTTATATTCAATATATATTGAGAAATATCACCATCAACGGAAACGGGGAATCCGGTTCCAAGGCCAAGTTCTTGGATGGTTTTATGGCACAGATGGCAGCTTGCCATCTTTGCATCGCACTTTTCCTATTTTTCCATCCCAATTGCCAATGTTGAGAAGCTGGTTCGAATTCAGGAACATTCATTGACATTGAGATGAACTGGGAACACATACCTTTGGAGATCTTTGAAAATTTGGTTTTTGCAGGGTTCCCAAACCTGATTTAAGGCATTTTTGGATGAATCATCATCAGCACATGCCAATGCATATCAGAAATTATCAGAATGTATATCCATTTTCCAAACTGGCATTTTGAATTGCACGGAATTGCCATGTTCATCCATTTTCCAAGTATTTTGGATGGGATGTCCAGAAACAGCTCCATTTTAGTGACCCGGAGTTTGTCAAGCAAAGCCGCGGACAGCGTAAAGACAGCCTCGAGGAATCACAGAGTCGGGACCATTTCCGAGGTGTTGTTTAATATTAAGGGGGAAGGGATCATCATTTACAAGATGAATTCAAAAATATATCTATGCATAGTATCTATGCATAGTATCTTGATTTGAGAACAGTTTATATAGACACATACAATGGGTACAGCAATTACGCGTGTGTATGTATGTGAGACATTGTATATATGTGTGTATGTATAGGTATGATATGCTTGTGTCATACCATGGAAGTCTACCAGAAATGTGTAAGACACCATATTTCAAATGATAGTTACTAGATTATATTCCTTGTCATTGTCTGGATTTGTATGAATATAGTCAGTTATATAATATATAGCCCCAAAATCATAACATATTATATCTTTAAATATGGCTAAATTGCTAAATTCCTTGTCATTGCTATCTTTGAAGCCCCTCTAGGAGGGGAGCCCCGTCGCCAGGTGCGCGCGCGGCTCCCAGGCTTCCACACCTGTGTGGGAACTGGTGGCGATCGGCAGACGCCGGATTGGTACGCCGAGAAAGGCGGGAACGTCGTGGAAAGCGTGAGCAGCTGGGTGAAGTATTCCCGTTTTGCGGAGTGGATCTGGGTCAACAATGTTCGAATTGGGTACCCCGCAGCCTGGCTGCGGAATTAATAACAATTTTCTGGAGTATGAACAATTTTCTGAATCAGATGGATTTCAAAATGTTAATACTCAAGAATCGACTCAGCCATCTGCGGCGCTGGGGCTTGAATTTTGACCCCTAGGGGATTGTATAGTTGAGCAAAATATTGGGGAAGATCACCATAACGGCGAATCCCGCCCTCAACTAAACAGTATAATTATATAATCAAATGGACTTTACCCAGGGTTTTGAACACTGCTCATGTGGGGAAGCACGTGGATGGTGGAGCTTGGATGATGGATTAATCAGACTGATTGAGCCAATTATTTTTTTATGGGGGATTACATGGAATTCTAAATTACAGTCTATGGGATTATAATGAAGTTGTGATTACAATGGATTATGGATTATATATATGGGACTACATGGGATTGTATTGGGTTTCCTTGGAGATTTGAGAAACGACAAGGGTTTTTTTTCACCAGGAAGAAAAATGGAATCTTTACCGAAAAATACATCAGCCAATAAAAACTGGCTTGTGTAGAGAAATGGGAAAGTCAAGATCAACGCGTGAATAGCCGTAGTGGGGATACACAACATGAGGGAGTCGGTTCCGACATGGGGCAAACATACTACAATATAATATATATATATAAATAATGATACTATATATGTATAAAAAATACTATATATTCAGAAAGGGACGTTGTGGAGGGAGGATTTTTATGGTGTTAAAAAAAAACACTAAAAAGCATCTCTGGTCACTATATCATCAAATGCTCATTGTTTTGTTTATCTTTGTGATACTTTTAAGTATTTGGCTTAGGTCATTAAGATCAATCAAAAAAGGCAATGTTTCATTCCATTTTATATTTCTTTGTGCTAATATATGCTAACGTACAGACTTAGAATATCAAAGTCAGTTGTAGTTACACTGTCTAAGAAATCTTAACATTCAGTCATATTAGCTTAATGCATAAAGAGGAATGGATATGGGCCAAAAAATTGATTAATATATTGCTACTAAGCTTTCCGTATAGATATCTCTTTTTCCCTTTCTCTCTTCCTCCTCGAGACCTCTGGAGACCCCGAGCTTTTTTTTTTTACCTTCTAGACCTCTCTGAGGGGGCACCAAAAAAACTTCTTTTTTTTTGGTGCCCCCCCCCCCCCCCCACCCCAGGAAACCAGCTTTGACATACTAAAGTCACCGGATCCTCTAGATTATAGTCCGCATTGGCACTACGGTACCGGCTGGACGGATCCGATCTAGTCCGTCGGGTCTGCCCGGTCGGCTCCACAGTGTCAATCCGGCAGCTGTCCGGCCCTTTCAAATCATTCGGTTTGTTTGGTCCGTTTTAATTTTGTTTTCCAAAGGCTTTGATGAAAGTATATATATATTTATATTTATATTATACATATATATATATATATGTTACATATTTTATGAATTATATTTTCTATATATATATATACATATATTATATGTTATAGATATATTGCATATATATATATTGTCATTTATATTATGTATTATCATCTATATTATATATTATAATATATATATATATATTATCATATATGTTATATATTATCATATACATACTATATATTATCAAATATATATCATATATATTATATATTATCATATATATTATTTATTATCATATTTATTATCATATATATTATCATAAATATTAAGTATTATCATATATAGTGCATATTTTCATATATATATTATTTATTATCATACATAAATATCATTGTATATATATATATATTGTATTATATATAATATCATTTATTATATAATTTACATATCATTAAATAAATATAGATATTGTATAATATTTAATATCATATATTATATGATATATATATATATTGTACATTGTAGTCATTGTAGATATTTGATATTTAAATTTTGATATAATATGTATATATATATAATATTCAATATGGTGTATATATATATATACAATTACATCAATTATATTATAATACATTTAATATGTAGTATACAGTATCTCTAATTCAATATATATATATATACATATTAATATATATATATATTTTATTGATGAGGAAAGTGAGGTGTTTTTAGCCACTAGAATTTGGGCGTATCACTAGCTATAAAACTGGAATGTGCGTCGAAGTACGTAGGGTCTGGCCACAATTATCACAGGCACAGGGACTGTCGCAAGAGGATTTTTTGTACTGAACATGATGATGATGATGATGGTGATGATGGTGATGGTGATGGTGATGATGATGATGATGATGATGATGATGATGATTTGTATTACATATTACCCTTTGGTGCCATCAGACGAGGCAATCGAAAAATCCTTTGGTGCCATATTTTCCCATTAAACCATACCAAGGGAGCCGTGGACCTGCAAAATTGTAGGGTCACTGAAAAAAGACGGGTTCTTTTAGGAAAAAATATGTTTTTGTTAAAAACCTGTTTTTTCGTATCTCATCGTTTCTCATTTGCCCCATCATTTCCATTGAACCCCTATGAAGAAAGGTCTGCAATCACATTGCCACACCCTTCATCAAACGGAAGGGCCATGCAGTCCTACCTCCCCATGTCAGACTTCACCCAGGGCATGGAGTTCGCACAATTGGACAATGTTTTGAATTACCGGCCGAGCCCAAGGGCGGCACATGGCGGCACCTAAACCCAAGCCAGATGCCACGTTCTGCAAATACAGGGGCATATAGACAGAATGTGTCGTGAATAAGGCACACCTTTACCAGCAAATCATCAAGTGTTTCAAATGAGCTTGGTTTTTTCGATCACCCTGCGAATCGAGCCGAAGACCTCGGTGTACAGACCGAGGAACTAACTAGAGCTCCGAACCCGTATATTTTCTACGGGTTTCTACGGGTAAAAGACGGGTTCCCTTCGGGTAAAATACGGGTTCCAAAAATGAAGGTTCCAAAGCGGATAGAGAAAATACGGGCTTCTACGGGTAAAAGACGGGTTCCCTACGGCTAAAATACGGGTTCACTGCCAGAACCTTCCTTTTTCCCCGCAAAAATCGGCAATGCAGCTTCTGGATGCAGTTTTCTCTTCAAAGTTCTAGCCGCTTAGCCCCTATCTTCCGAAAGTGGCATTTGGCTTTGGGATTGGGTGCGGACCTGCAAATATTTCCCACGGGGCAGGTAAGTGAAAGCATTCTCCACTTGGGCGAACTCCATCCCCTAGGTGAAATCTGGCATGGGGAGGTAGGACTGCATAAGCGAGCTAGGACTCCATGTTTCATTCAAAATCAGGCGGAGGCCGCCAGGCCAACTCCATGTTTTCTATCTGACATTCTGATCGCAAATCACCCATCAAAGACGCACATGCAAGTAATTTCTTGATCCTGCTGCTTGGCGGCAGGGAT